GACATTTTCTTAGAGCTAGTGTCATATTTGCTGGGGCCCTGGGCAGAACCCCTGCCTTGCAGTGCTATTGAAGGCTGCTGTCCCTCATCCCACTCTGTGGCTGGGGCCCCTTGCTATTGCTCTGACTACTAGTGTCCAAGCCAGCTCTGTGCTTTTTGTGGGAGAGTGGATGGGATTGCATCAGTGGCATAGGGAGAATGTTAAAAGCTGAGTGCCGCTGAAACTTTTGTTTTTTTAATGCCAGCTTAGTTGTCTGTTGTGAAAAATGGATCTCCCCATGGGAACAATGCATGCAGCTGCCTTTTATAGAAAAGCATCATTTGCGAGGGCACGACTGGCATTCATATATTCATAAAAGGAAGACCACATCTGATAAATCTGGTGAATGCTCTCAGTACTTCACTGAATCGATAAACAAGGGACAAAATCAACTGGGAGATAATTTTTCTGGATTTCATAAAAGCTTTTAATCGTGGCCTGCAGAATAGATTGATCTGCAAAGACAAGAATGAATGCTATGGATTAATCGGTGGAGTCAGAAGGCACAGCAGAGGGAGAGCAAGAGGGAAATTAATTAAAAATTGGCTGTATAGAAGGATCTCTGATAGTCCGTAACAGTGAGACAGGGACTCTAAGACCCACAAACTCTGGGTGTGCTGCTCTATCTCATGCCATTTCAGTCTCCACCTGGAGAAGAGACTTACTCTGATTTGTAACCTGAAGATTATTTGGAAAGGACAGACTAGTGTGGAGGTTAAAGTGCCCCTTCCCTTTGCCCTACTTGCTGAAAGCGCTGTGTCAGCAGAAGGCCTTCCTGGTCTGTGGCTTTATGCTTTTGCGTGAGGGCAGGAATCATTTGTCATGCAGATTCACCAGCCAGAAACTTTTGTTTTTGGTAAAAGCACATTTTGAATGCAATTGTTTTGACATTTGCTGATCACCAGCTGAGTAGCTAGAGCAGAACTTGTTCCAGGTGAATGGGTGCTTGAGCGATTCAGTGAACCGTATCCATCTGTGTCTGCTGTCTCTGGTGGTGGGGCACATGGACATCACTCAGTTTGTCTCTCTGTAAACATACCCATGACAGGTGCCCCTTAGGCTGTGATATTCTCTGAGCCTGCAAGCTGAGGGGAGTCCTTGAATGGCAGAAAACATCTTCCAAGACTTCTTGTCAGCTGGTGATAAATGGGCAGTTGGGGGATTTCTCTTCCCTCCAGGCTCCAGCTATTGCTGTAGAGCAAATAAAGTGCTTTGAGATATCAGATGAAAAGCTGTGTTAGGCTGTAGGTGAGGACTGGAAGACTTAAGTGTCTGCCTACAAGCCATTCCTCTTAGCTCCTATTTGTGTGTGCAGACTTTGCAGTCAAGAATATCATTATGTATTTTCAGAACGGAGAAGCATCCTTGTTTGAGGTGAACATCCGCTATATTGGAGGACTGTTGGCCGCATACTACTTAACTGGAGAAGAGGTTTGTTTCAGCAGCCCTGTGTGTCTCTCAGTCACCAATAATGAATTGAAAGGGTTCTCCAGCAGCTTTTCACTGAGCATCAGATAATCTCTCCACAACAGCAGGCTAAACCTGTCGTTTTTATGAATATCGAAATGCCACTTATGTTCTTTTAATTAAGTCTCACATAATTACCTTGACACACCGTGCATGGCTCATCAGCAGAGATCTTTTCTCCAGTGGGCAATTCTAGCAAGACACATTTTCAGTTGAATACATTGCTCCCCAGTGAAATGCCATTTGCAGTGATCTTTGTCTTGGTACTTGCTACTTTGTGGTTACCATGTACCCTAAACATAGGCAATATTTCATGAAACACAGTTCCAGACTCTGCCCCTGGACTAAGGGGCAGCAACTGGTTAGTGACAAGTGCTCCAAACTCTGCCTGGACAGTCTTTCTGTAGCAGTAGCCTATAAGGTGAAGTGCCCTGGGGGACAGGGGCACTCCTTTCTCTCCAGCCAAGCAGAGGTTGGGACTTAATGCCGTAATCTGTTTCATAATATGACTGGACTGAAATTTTAAAGCTGGCTATAGAGAGATGAAGAGATTATTCCTCTGCCCTAGAAATCTTAGGCAAGCAGAAATTCTGAATTTCGGAGGAGTTTCGTGGGTGAAGGAACTGTAAGATTTGCTCTTAAATGAGAGGTCAGCTCCCACCGACCATGGCTGGGTGCTGTCTGCCATAATAGGATGGGATGGCTCATCATTGCGTAGTGGTACCATTGATCCGTAGACTCACAGGAGCAGCTCCATTACTAAGGTTGCATTTTCAATGAGTTCTAGGAATGAGTTCCCTCTGTGATTTCCCTCCAGGGAAAACTCTCAAAGACTTAGTGTCCCAACTCAGGGCCTGTCTCAGTCAGAACTTCGGTGGGCTTCACATCAGCAGACTAAAAAGAAACCATATTAAGCCATAAAGCTTCAGTAGTGACCCTTTGAAGTGTAGTCAGCAGTGATGCAGCAGCCAGGACAGTGCCTGTCATATACCCACTCAGTGTCACCAGGCTGAAATGAAAGAATTGAGGCCCTGTCTCTTGGCTTCCCTTTCTGAATCAAACCCACCTCCTTGCGAGTGTATCAAAGGCCCGCAAGCCCACAGGAGAGCTCATGTTTCCTCAGTGTGTATTTTTAGAGCAATAAATTCCTGCTTTCTCAGAACTACTGTGACAGCTTGGGCTGTATAGGGGGGCTAGAGGTAAAAGGCTTGTGCTTTATCTCATAAGTCACTTACAGGCTTCCCTTGATCAGGACTAATCTCTGGAGCAAAGATTAGTGCTTGTATCAGTTTGTCCCAAAATAATTGTGTATGGTAGCTTTGTGCTGCAAGCCACCATAAGCTATAATTTGATTTGAAAGCCCAAAACTGAGGCATTAAAAATGGAAAAGGAGCAGCTTAGACATGAAACCTTCCTGGGAAAGACTGCAAGTAAAAGATTGTTCATTGGAAATCATGTTTTTTGCAATAGGAGGTAATACCAGCTGGACAAACTCATGTCGTCAATCTGACAATGTTTGCCCCTAGAAAAATTTCCTTTGATTTTAATTGAGCCATTTCACAATGCTGTGTCCTCTGCCACATTAGGAAAAGAGAAGCATTTGTCCCCCAAAGGGTACTCCTTGGATCAGTTCATATCAAACCGGAGAGACAAGGCAGTGAGCAAAGCTACTGCCAGCATTTGTAGTGGGCAATGAGATTTGAAGGGGAGGCCTTTGACTGCAGGAGCTCTTTTCTTGTTCAGCTGGTCAAAGGGGATGTGCTAGTTCCTTGACCTTTAATCAGTCATTTGGACAGCTGAGATCTGCAGGGAACAGGAAATTGGGGCTGTGATAGTGAAGCCCTGCATTGAGCTTCACTTGCTGATCCTGAGAGGTCCTTGGTTTCAAGAGCAGATCATGCAGGACAGGGTTGGTGCAGTCTAAAATTTTGAGCTTACCCTTGGGTGGAGGTTCAGTGGGCCTTATGAGGTCAGTGAGTGTAAGAACAACAGCTGAGGAAAGGTCCCACAAACCTCACTGAACTGTAGCCCCCCTGTTTTTCCCAGCCTTGACAGTGACTGAATTCCAAACTCCTATCCTGGATGTGCATGGGCAGTAACAGAAACAGATCACTGAAATTTGCTACTGAGGCATTTGGGGTGTTCTGTGAGCTCTGCAGCTCTGGCTGCTCTCATCCAGGTTCAGGGTTTGCCAGGAAACTTGGGCCCGGCTTAGAGTAGATTTTTAGAGGCCATTCAGATAGATACCAAAGTTTGCTGTGACTTTTGGTCCAAATCCATCCAGGAGTGGATCTAGGGCAGCTGCATACCTGAAATAACAGATTCTTGTAGTGCAGTAATTTCATCTTTCTTTAATGCCATGCTTGAAAAAATGAATTTGAAAGAATCCAGTGTAACTAGTATTTGCAAGCAGCCCATCAAATATTTATCCTCTCTTCTTTTAACAGGTGTTCAAGAGTAAAGCTCTGGAACTTGGAGAGAAACTTTTGCCAGCTTTTAACACCCCCACTGGTATCCCACGTGGCGTCATAAATCTGGGCAGGCAAGACACACGTCCTTATGAGCATGTCATTTCATTACTGAATGTTTGTAAAAGACCAGGACCCAAGCAGGAACAGCAGCAGTTCCTCAGAGGTGCTCCCCTCTAGTGCAGATTCTTCGAGGTCATTTGTTTTGCCAACCAAAAACCAAGAGGTACCTTGGCAGAGATTGCAGGTGACTCAAGTTAAATCCAGCTGTGTTTTATTAATTTTGGGCTATCCATGGTTTCTCCCTCTACCTCTTGGCAGGGCCCCCTGCTGCAATAGCATTTTCCTCACTGTCATTTTCTTTGAAAGGTTATTTGTAGTCTGCACGTAGCATGTGGCATGCGCTGTGTTTTTACAGTATGCCTAACTAGATGTATGTGAATTTTTCCAGGCTGCATATCTGGGGAACTGGGAAATGGATTAGATGGGACTGGCTGACAGGTTTGCGGCTAGAAAGGGGGGAGTATACACATCCTCTGATTTTCTCCCTGCTGGCAGTACTCAGCCACATGTGTATTCTTCACTTAGGGTTGCAGTGTTTCATGTCAGGTAGGTGGTGTTCTCATGCTGCAGGGGAGCTTTGAGGCAGCTGGGTTAAATAGCTTGCTGAAGGGGGTAGGTGGTGTTCTCATGCTGCAGCTGGGTTAAATAGCTTGCTGAAGGTCACTCAGCAGAGAGATGTGAACCTGGAGGCTGGACTCTCAGTCTCTGAATCTCACTAGTAGATGGTGTTCCCGGCCAATAGGGGTTCATTGGCTCTTTTTGATACCTACTAACAAATCCCCTGGGTAAAAAGCTGCATGCAGGCTGAAACGCAGCCAGCAGGAAACGTGGGTTAACAAAAGCCTTTCATCCTCACCTCTCTCAACACTCAGAGCAGCAGCTGTGAAAATCTTTATTCATCTCTTAGCCCGAACGTCCTGTTTGGCTCCCGTCCTTGTGAAGCGCAAGACTGTCAAATGTTTGACTCAGGCCGATCCGTTGCTCAAATATCACTGTCACCGTTCAGTTTTCTCATTTGCACATGATCCTACTGAAAATTTGAAGCACCACCACGACCACTTTAATTGTTTCTTTTTACAGAAGAGACATTCTGCTTCCTCTGTGGCTGATAAAGGCTCAGAGTAGACTAACCTTTCTCAGAAATGCCAAACCCTCCCCTGCCCTTTGTGAAGACAATCGAAACAGACTCTGTCTGCCTAGACATTCCCAAAATGTTTTGTTGGTGACCTTGACTAAGAGCAAAGACAATCAAAGTAACACAGAGCCTGAAATCCAGAGCCCATATTACTGTCTTGAGCTCTGGCTTCAGAGCCATGGTACTGCTGGAAGGGCCTGGATTGTCGATTAATTTAGGAGCAAGGATAAAGTGAACTAACTCTGTAGCTGGCTACTGCAGGAACATGATGATCAGCCAAAGTTTGTAAACCCAAAGGGGAAGGGAGTTATTCAGCATGAGGTAGCATATGCATGTGGAAGCAGAGGTGAGTGAGATGATGTGGAGAGAGGGGATGTTTAACACAGAAGTCAAGGCCAATCCAAAACTCAGAAGAGTTTTGCAAGAAGGAACTGTCCCCCAGTTCTACTTTTGCAAGGATGTGCTAATTCCAGAGAAACCTCATCAGCTCAGAAGCAGGGGGATTTTATAGCATGTGCAGGGTTTCTGTTGGCGATGGATTTTGGAGGGGGGAAGGAGGACTAAGAATGAGATTCAGAAATTTCAAGCAAACAAAAGCTTTACATTAATTCTGAGTAGATGTTTTTGGGGATACAAGTAGAAAGACCTTCCCTTTGCTCTTCCCATAGCCAGCTGGCCTTATCTCTTCCTATCACCTTGCACCACCTTTTCCTCTCGTGTCCCCTCCACTGATATGCTTCCCTGGGCTTCTGTTTTCACAAAGGCCCTCGTATCATATCTCACGCAGGCCTGTTTTCCGTCCTGCTGGTCTAACTGGCACGTTTTCTGCCAGGTCCTACCGTATATTGTCTTTTCAAGCTGCTTCTCTGTCCTCCCCGCCTGCGTGTTGTGCTGTGCTTTCTCTCCTGATGCGCCCTGGCCCCCCTTCACATCTCCCCTAAACCCTCTGCACCTCCACGTTCTTCCTCGTCCTCCTCTCCTGGCCACCCTGTGAACTTGGCAGTGTTTTGCTGCTTTGGATCTCTGTGAGGGGAGGAAGTGAGACAGCCACTTTCAGTCTGTGCTTGCAGTGGTCAGCGTTTAATCAAGATGCATGTATTTGGGGGACAAAGGCAGCTCTGGGCGTTTTCCTTTGTTTTGAAAACCAAGGTCCTTTAACAGGTAGTTTCCTCTGAGATGTTAGAATACAGGGCAGATGTGAAGACCCAGTCTGTAATGCTGAAAAAATGTTTTCCTGCAGGGGGTCATTTCAGGCTGCTCTTTAACCCAGGGGCACGTTGCAGACAGACTGTTTCCGCCAGACCACCTCTCCCTGGGTTCACTGTGATTTGTCCCCCGCCGCAGGGCTTGGGCTCCCGATAACACTGTCCTTGCCGGCAGGGGGTTGCTGCGGGTTTGGGACCAAAGTTCCCGGCAGGGCTGTGTCAGCTGCTGTGACCCAGAGAGCCGCTGTCACAGCAAACAGCCTCATTTGGCTGCCTCCGAGCACGCCTCATTTGAACTAGCTCAGAAGGCAGTTTCTGTTTGGGAGATTGTATTTGTTACTGTGTCCCTTTGGTGCAGTAAATAAAGAAAAAGTAATTGACTCCTGGTAGGCACGAGCGCTCCATGGGGTTGCTCTGCGCGCCCATCCCAGGGCCAGCTACTACCAGCTTTAATGCGTATGTCTAATGGGATATTAATACCACTGTTCACCTGGTCAGACCGGAGAGCCTGCCTTTCAGCCTGCATGGGGAGGTTTCTGCCATGAGCACTCGCTGTTGTCTGAGGTACCATTTTAGCCGCCCGCAGTGTTTCCAAAGGAAAGGTTGGTGATGTAGGCTCCCGACAGTTTGCAGGGAAGGCTGACGTTTGGCAGTGACTGAGCAATTTGAAACAGCGTGAACATATTGCTTATCTAATGGCTCTTTTTGTCTGCAGGCAAAACAAACAGCTCTGGACCTGAAATGGTTTTCTGTATATCCCATACAAATAGCAAGCTTTCAGGCGCCATCTAGTGTCCCCTCCCCCATAATGGGAAATCTGCTACCTCATCAGTATCGACCACATAACGAGACGTGAAAATCAAAGTCATATCACTTCTGAAACAGCCCTGCCAAGCTTCCCGGGGCCAGCACCTGCAGAGGCTATTTTGAGACCAAGGCCTAAAGATATAGGTCACTTTTCATGTCCGTGTAGATTTGAGAGAGGCACAGAGCTGTAATCTGTAGCAGTGGGACACGAAGGAAATGGTCAAACGTAAAAGCAAATCCAAGAAGGAGATGCATAAGGTTGTTATGGCTTGGAAAAGCCTCTGCCCTTCCATGTCCTTCGGTTAGATTTTTCCAGGATAAAGGGAGAAACGATGCCCTCTTCAGCCCCAGAATCTGCTCCTTGCTTTGTTCCAAGGAGGATTTCTCTTCAGCACTGCACTCTGCATGGATTTGTCAGGGTGAGACATCAAAAGCAGGGCTACAGGGAGAAAAACAGAAGCTGAGAATGGATCCCAGTAGGTCAAAAATAGGGGCAGGAGGCACTTTGTATAACTGGCTTCTCCACGCAGACTTTGCCAGCTTCTGAAGCTTTGTCCTGGCCCACAACGCTTGCAAGACATGTGAGATGAGCACCAGTGGGGTGCTTTCAGAGTCAGATTTGACATGTGCAGATGTCAGATTACCCATGGCTTTTTCATTGGTCAGATTTGCCCAATAGCTTATTTCCCCTAAGCATTGATGTTACTGTACACTGTATTCCTTCCCCCCCCCCCCAACAACCAAACACATCTTGGGGATGTCAGTGCCATGTATGCATAAAAAGCGTGAGATCTTGTTGGAATGAGGTGCTTAGGGACACTCTGGATTCTCCATAAAATGAGATTTCAGCCTTGTTAGACTTGTGGGATGTTTGGGACATGAGAGTTCAGCTCAGGCTGCTTAGAGGCAGGTTTTATCCCAAACTGTCTTATGTAGGGCAGCCTGTGAGTGTTCTTCCAATGTTTGCTCTAAGCTGATCTGCTTGGGAGGGATTACCCTCCAACAGTAGCTCCAGCATGCAGGCCAGTATGTGCAATCTGTGTAGTTGCCCTATCCTAAACAATCCCTTTTTAAAACTACTGTTCCATGCCACTGGAATTGTTCAGCGTGAAAGAGTCCTAAACAATCTACGTATGCCCTTTATGTGGTCCCTGTTGATACCTGGTATGCATTACATACATGTAGCAAAGGCATGATCTGCACTCTGGTAATGGGGTGACCTCAGACTTTGTTTGCTTGGTAATAAAGGCTCCCTTTTCTCTCCTTGCAGTGGCATGAGTTGGAGTTGGGGTTGGGCATCTGCTGGAAGCAGCATCTTAGCGGAGTTTGGTACCTTGCACTTAGAATTCCTGCACCTTTCGGAGCTCTCTGGCAACCCAGTGTTTGCAGAAAAGGCAAGTACTTCCCACCTCCGTTTTTGGTGAACTGATCTCTTCGTACTCCTGGGGTCAGGGCTGGAGCAGAGCAGCACTTTGGCCTGCCCACAGCAGACAACATGGCTGCAGCAAAGTGCCTCTTCTGCCCATTAGCAGTACAACTCACCAGAGGAGAAGCCTTCCAGAGTGGGACGCGTGCAGAAACCTGTCCTTTGCAGGCTGCAGGTGTCACCAGGCCTCAGAGCATCCTATGCGCCGGTCCAGTGAAAAGGTCACAGCAACCTCCAACTGGTCACACTTCCATTGTGCTGACTAGCCTTAGAAGGCAGCTGCCCAGCTGTTCACACTTGCTTTACCATTTACACTTGCTTTTGTCCCTCCACCTCCCTCCCTCCATCTCTGGCAGCAGCCATGGGAGATGGGGATGTTTTCACAATGTCTTGGTGATGTGAAGTTGTAGTAAAAACCTACTAAACACAAAGGCACGGGCAAAATTAATCCTTCTGTTCGATGCAGGCTGCAAAGATAATAGTTAATTCTAATAGTATTGCCTTGTACTTACAGACCTTTTCACTCTAAACAGGCATTAAATGTTATGATCCAGCCAGCAGTATTTCTGCTGAGGTTTCTTGTGTAGGAAAGGCCTGACAGTTGACATATTGGATTCCTTTTGGGTAACTTGTAACTGAAAATCTGTTAATGTTACACATTACCTTGAGCTCCTTTTTTTTTTCTTCTTTTTTTTTAAACTAGTGATCTTGCAGTGCATGTGAGACCAATTTAATAAGTATGCTGTTGGATACCAGCAAATCATTAGCTTCCACCGCACGTCCCTGAGGAACCGGCTTCGAGGGAGACAAATTGTTCTAGTTAGAATCTGAACTGCCCCCGTGAGCCCAAAGGAAATGGGGCCAGTCCAGAGCCCCACAGTGGGGTGAAAACAAACAGTAGTTCTGAGATAACCAGTAAAAGGCTCAAAATGGTCCTTTTCTAGGGTATTTCCAGCATTGGTCTGTCGGTTGTCCCTGAAACAGGAAGAGAATTTGCAGAAGAGAAGGAAGAAGCTACAAGAGCAAAACAGAGAGAATAGGATGAAGCATGTGGAAAGCAAAAGAGTGGGGTGAGCAAGAGAAATGTCACAGAGGAGTGACCAGGAGGGAATAGCAGAGGGTAAAGGGAAACTAGAAACCCAGGAAACTCTGTAGGCAAGATAAAGAAAGACTGGCAATTTGAAAAAAGACAAGCTGATGATTCTTGATGATGATGAATTACTTAGAGCAGGGAGGGGGAAGTTGAGAAGAGACCGGTACAGAGAAAGGGGTGTGCAAAAAAAAAAAAAAAAAAGTGTGGGAAAGAAATGACAGATGAAAACAAAGAGAGATGAGCACTGAAAACACAAGGGCAAGAAGATGCAACAATGCAAGCCTGAATTGCATCCATATTCCATGTTCAAACTGTGCTATTTTGAACCAGGGTCAAGCCTCTATCCCCAAGGTAACATGTTTTCATCTCAGGCTCATAAGCCAGCTAAAGGATAGGGGCAGAACCTTTCTAATGGACTCTCCTGAGCTGAGTGTGCCTCGTGTGTGCCACAGAAAAGATATTGCATTCATCCTAATGCCCTGAGAGAGAAAAAATGTGGGATGATAGGGGCTCAAACAGCCCATCTTGTGGGAAATGACATCAGAGGAACAGATCAGCTCATTAGTGTGCAGCTAGGGACTTGTGTGATTTTAGCAGGAATAAAGTCCATCTGTGTCTTTTATTCAAACATGTCATTAATATGCCATGCTACTAAACTTCAGTAAATATTATGCAGCCTGACGACTTACTTGGAAGCACTGGCTTAAGCCTGTAGCCAGCTTTTGGCGTACAAATTGTCTAATTTTATAAAAGGTTTAGAGTATATTAGCTGCTCTGTAAGTTATAATAGAATATTTATGCTACATACCGTTTAACTTCATCCCTTATGGGAAAGGCCTATTGGATTTAATGGGAATGAAACCAAGGGAGGTTTTAGGGAATAAGTAAATCTGTTCTAGCATATTAAAGGAGCTGTCTGTTGTTAAAATTAAAGGCCCCAATTCGTCAGGTTAAGTGAGCACATGGTGAATTTAAGTGCCACGTGAGTCACTCATCCCTGCCACTCCTTTCCCTTTGGATCATGGAAAAAAACACCCTCTACATCTCATACGTTTCCACCCAGATCCCAAATCCTCAGGATTGCTTTTGGACCGTTGTCAGGGAACTGCTTCCACTGCTTTCTGAACTGGAGCCTCGTGGGGTTTTTCTAAAAACCCACAGAACTGGATAAAGACTGTGCTGAGGATCCAGGAGGAAAGTTCCTCTGTCACAGGCCCTTCCTCTGGGAGCCATGTTGCCGGCTTCCACTTGCGTGATGATTCACAACATTACCGGCTGCTGTGCTTGTTCAGCTAGGCATCAAAACTGAGGAGTCAGGCTTCAGTGACAGAACAAAACCGTCAGCCTTTTCAGTAGAGAAGTAATGTGGTTCTTGTGTCTCATCTCTCATAGGTGATGAACATCCGCAAAGTCCTGAACAGAGTTGAGAAGCCGCAGGGCCTGTATCCCAACTTCCTCAGCCCGGTGACAGGCAACTGGGTGCAGCGTAAGTATCAGTCTGCATTGAGTCCTGCCTGGAGCATTTCAGCCTTTCCATTATTCTTTAGGAAGAGATAGCAACTGTCAGAGCAGCAAGCCAAGGAACTGTCTTGTCAGGCAGCCTGTTATACATGTGATTAGATAATGCGACTCGATTTGGAAGATGCAACATAATCATCGTACACTTATTCCATCAGCCTTGTTTCCAGCTGAGTGTCTCACCTCCAGAACGAGAATTAGGGCCTCTCCTGCACAGGGGGAGATAATGGTACATGGTTCATCACACAGATATTAGATGTCAGCACACCTCTTTAAGACCTCATCCTGCAGTCTCGTCTAGCCCACAGGAGTTGCACGTGAAGGCTGTGAGCAGAAGCCATATGAGATTTGCTTCCTAAGTATGATGTATCAAATAGGGATCCATTTGGAGAAGCAGTGGGCTTGCAGAGTTTCAGATCCCCCTGGGATCTAAGCACTCTCTCGTGTGCATTCGTGTACCTGTCACTCCGGACCTGCGGCATAGGGCACTGTGGTGCCACAAGGGTGAGGCAAGCGTGTGTTGTTCTCTCTTGTGGGAATGCCATGCTGGCCAGCACTGAAGACATAGGCATTGGAACAGATACTGCTCTAAAATGGAAGAGGGAGCAATAGCCAGGAAAGGGCTATTTTTAGAAGCTGTTTTTAATCTGTCAGCGGGTTACATTTATATTATTTAAGTTGGTTTCTTGGAGTCATTGCATTATTTTTGTCCCTGTGGCTCTCCTAGATCACTCTAGACCTTTCTAGCTACTGTATTAATAGCTCTGATTGTAACTGACAGGCAGTTGTGTGGCTGCCGTCATCTGAGACGGTGGGAGAGCTATGAGCAATCCCTGACCTTTGACTGACACATCAGCACCTCTAGTGGTGATTGACAGGGCTTGGCTTGAAAATTGTCCCAACACAGCATCTTGGATAATTCCAGTTGTCCCATTAAACCAGAGCTGTTCTTTGGTGCTGTGAGGAAAGAAGATAGGCTTCCATGTTTGTCCAGTTAATCGACTTTCCAAGTTATCCAATCCCTTTGTTGGCTCGGCTTCCCATCTGCATTTGTGTCTGCAGAGTTGTTGTAATATGTCCCACTTGAAAAGTTAATCTCCCATCCCCAACGGTACCCCTGAGATGCCATTTTCTTTAGGCTATTCACAGCTGGCAGCCACACTGCACGTTTTCCCAGACACAAGCATTAATCCTACCTGCTCCTTGGTGTTGAGAAGAAAAGAAGTTCCGGTCTCAGATCTGTTGTTGCCGTTACTGATTGTTACCAAATCTTTGGGAAACTGTAGAGCTGTGCTCTTAATTCAGATAGTTACTGAATACTCAGCTTGATACTCGCTATTAATTTCTTCTGCCACTAATCTATTTCTGTTTATATCCACAAATTTGGCTTCATTTTACTGACCTGCTCCCTCCCACCCTTTGCTGACATATAGAGGGGTCTGAGAGCTTATTAAAAGTCGCATCTGATTCGTTCATTTGGGATAGGGTGATTTATGAAAAAGGACTAGAGATATTCTCTCTCCTAGATTACACGTTATAAGAGCAGCCCATGGCACAGATTTCTTCTGCCAGTTGCTCATTTTCCGACCTTGCGGTCTGAAACCATATTCCAGCGAGGCAAAATGCTGATCAGCATCTTCTCTATCTCTAATACTGCTGGTGAGAAATAGATTAGGACCAAAGTAGAGAGGCAGCTGCTGCCTGCCACAGGGATGTTCCCAGTAGGTGCCAGGCTCTCATTTTCTCTCTTGCTATTAAAGCTCTTCACAGGAAGCTGTTTTTCTTGGAATTGCTATGATTTTCTTAAAAGGCGCGTCTTCGACCTGGCCAAATGAGCAGATCTTCTAATGAAGAGGCAATGTTCTACCTCTTCTGAGTGCAGTTGTTACCTTTAGAGAATTAAAGCAGAGTCCCCTGCTGAAATAAAAGATTTGTTTATGCAAAGTGCCTAGGAGGCAAATGCTGGCAAAGTCATGCCATATGGAAAGCAATTATGTACCAGAGCTTCTGCTTTAGTGATTTTATGAATGGCATACTTAGGATCACAGAGCTTCTCTTTAAAGTCAGGCTGCGCAGCCAGTGTTTGTAAATAGTCTGTCCTCTTTTTCTCTGAATTCATACATCTAATCTCATTGTTTTGCTGTGGATTATTCCGTGGATCATTGGACACACTGTATCAGGGATATTTGCTCTTCAGGTCAGGAGAATGCACAGCTGTTGATCTCTCGTATTTGTAGGATTTAGCACTTAGGATAAGCCTCAGAACTTTATATATGCACATTGGAAGGGAAAATAAAAATCTGAAAAGCTACTCCAAAAACCCTGCTGCGTCTGCTTACGTTTAAAATGAGGAAGATGCAGATGCAGAGGTAGACACTTTTAATTAATAGGAATGGTTCAGTCCATGGTGGGTAATTTGTCTTGCTCCTATAAAAAGGGGAGTTCTTGGCTGCTTCAAAGAATTACTGCTGCTTTTCCCCCCATAGTATAGTTTACAGATATAAATCCATCCAGTAGTTCCCCCCAGGCAGAAACCTGCAGCAGTCATGCCCATTTCACAGTGCAATTCCTTAGCATTCTCCTCTCCAGTAAGGTCAAAGCATTGTGTACTCTGAACAGATAGCCTTGAAAATCGGATTGCTCCAGAAGAAGATATTCAGTGCACATCCTTGCACCTGACTTTATCATTTTAATATGCCAACAACCCCAGCCTTCTCCAGGACGCAGAGTCCCATCATGAGCCAGGAATACAAATGGCAGGATCTAGAGGTCCCTACAGCAGTCCCTTGCTGACAGCTCTGTCTGTTCCAACATACATTTTCCCTTTCCTAAGGCAGCGAGACAGGGCCCAGTGGCTTCATACAGGTAGAGATCCATCAATACCTGCCGTTGCTCTCAATTTATTAGGCTGGGCTTTATGATGGTTGCTTCATAAACAGGAAGCATGTTCAAGTTGCAATATAAATAACTGTTGCAAAATAAGACCTCTGAATAGTTTTCGTAAGGGATACTGATGCTTTGTAAAACGACAGAACATTTTCCTTCTGATTGCACTTTCCACCTTTCTTCCGTTTTAAAAAAGAAAATGCTGCCAGCTCTCCCCAGGAAACTGGAAAGAGGGAGGAGAGAACAAGGGCATTAAATAGGACATGGTTGTTTGCTCTTTGTAAAGTGACTGCTCATTGTATATTATGAACCTGATGTTCTTTTTTGGCTTTCCTATTACAGACCATGTCTCCATTGGGGGGCTCGGGGACAGCTTTTATGAATATCTCATCAAATCTTGGCTGATGTCAGACAAGAAAGACTCTGAAGCTAAAAAGATGTATGATGATGCACTAGAGGTAAGGAGCAACTTTCTGCTCCCTATTTCTTTTGGGGGAATATTGTTCACCAGAATGTTTCAGGCAAAGGTATGTTAGCTCTTTGAGTTTGTTTGGTATTCACTCCCTACCCTATCCACTAAACCTCCTGAGATCCTGATTTTCATCCCTTTAGGCAATAGAAAAGCATTTGGTCAAAAAGTCTGCTGGAGGATTGACCTACATTGCTGAATGGAGGGGTGGCAGCTTGGATCACAAAATGGGCCACTTGGCTTGCTTCTCTGGGGGCATGATAGCACTTGGAGCCGAACACGCCGGAGAAGAAAGGAAGCAACATTACGTGGATCTAGCTGCAGAAATAACAAACACATGTCATGAGTCTTATGCACGCTCAGGTAAACCTGGTGGGCCGCCTAGGAAACACTAGTAAGGGAGAGTCGGCAGCCTTAGGACGCTCAGCTCTTGTGTGGCACAGGATTGCAGCAGGGTGTTTTGTGCTTCAGCAGCATCTTCATCCCTGCGTATGACATTCACTTTTCTTCTCTAGGATATCTAGAAGGGAGGGCAGTAACAGCCTTCCTGTTTTACATAACAGACAGCTGGAGCAAAGGGACAGGCAGATGTGAACTGTCGGCAGAGCTGGGAAATGAACCCTGAACTGAATCCTAATCCTGCATCCCAGTCATAGAACTAGACTTCTTCTTCTGACAAGGGTGGAGTTTGAGCCTGTCCTTTCACATCCCTGCGCAGACAAAGAGGGGAGGTTAACAGTGATTCATTGTAGGATGTCTTGCTATATGGAGCAGAGCAGCTGAGAAGCCAGAGAGTGTCGGAGACCTGTAGCTGCTGCTAGGAACCAAAGTAGTAAAATGACTCTCAGCCTCTTCCAGATATCTAAGCAGAGGCTGGCTAAGTCCAGTAGGATTTGTTTCCTCACCCAATGTGCTTTTCAGTCAATGCTTTGGGAAAGAAATGACTGATGAGGAATGAGAGACCGGTTCTCTGCCTGCAGCGCTTTCAGTAAGATAAGCCTACTTTGGACGCTGCTCCTTTCTTTGTAGGCATCTCTGTAGCTCCTTGGAGCCTGCAGGCAGCAAAGCAGCAGTGTGCTCTCCAAGACCTTGTCAAGCACATCTGTCTGCACTAAGCGTTCCCAAAGATTGTTTCACACCTCAACCACATCAGCAAGCCCGTATTGGCAGCTGGCATCCAGCATGTTTGCCTAATAAACTTAACTGATGCATCAAGCTAAACTGAAATCATATTTGCAAATAACTCTTTTTTCCAGCATTTACAGAACTGAAACAAGCCAGCCGAACTAATAGCCCTCTGGCTGTGAGTGCCTAGAGCCAATTTTCACCTTCAGCAACATCCATCAGCGTAGAAAGGACAGTAGCGAGCCTGCCCACATTGGTTACAGAGCTGTCATTTCAGCAAGCTCATTGTTTTACAGAGAATGGCTGTGCATGTTGCCCTGGCTGCCAGCAAACAATACAGCTAGCAATCACTGTAAGCTTCCAGCGCAGACAGGAGGGCCTAGGGAAGGTGTGCAAAATATTTACAGAAATGAAATGAATACCTGAAACACTGCCTCCCTCACTGCTGTGGTGAACACGTGGGTACTGCAAGAGAAACCTGATGTGGCATGATCACGAGCAACCTCTGTGCTCAGTTTCTCTGTTTCTCAGATATGGAAAGGTCCCTGTGTTGTAAGTAGGGATCTCAGTGCAAGCTGATACTTGCAAGAGATTGAGATCCTCATGTAAGGGACGCTCAAGAAGACCAAGGTACTCTTAATTTTTTAATTGTAAAATATCAATGAAACCAGTTCAGCTTTTGCCATCATCCTGATGTCTTCTGTTTCAAAGAGGCTGATAGTGGACCAGAAGAAAAGGCAAAGTAAATGGTTGCAGGTCCAGGTACCTCTTCTTACAGCCTCCCTGCCCTGGTGCAGTTATACTGGCTCAATCTGCTGTACTGATCAATTGTGAAACAGAGAAGTTCCTACCTGCTAGTGTACCAGTATCTCTGTGAGGGTGAGATCAGATGCATGGCTAGTTTTTCCTTTGAATGTGTTTTCTCTTTGAGGCCTTAGGACAGGATCTTCCTCTCTATTCTTTCTCACTTGGGTCCTGAGGTTGGCTTCAGTGACAAACTTTGCTCTCAGGGTCAGGTGCAGTGCAATTCTCAATTCTTAGGACCAAATCCAAACCCAGCAAAAGTCTTAGGACACGGGAGAGATTTGTACCTGCTTCCTCCACACTCAAATCTGGTCCAAGTATTTGTTTCGTCAGTTGTATCCACCCTCAAAAACACTTCACCCTCCCCTAGATAATATCGAGAAATATCACAGTATGAGCAAAACCTGTGGATGGCAGTGAGGAAAGCTCATGCACTCTGTGGAGTTGCCCCTATTTTGACATTGGCTCTGAGGTTGATGTGCTACCCAGACAAGACTGATCTGCTCATCTGACCTCACACAAGCCTTAGTTAAATGTCTGATGTCTGAGCAGCATAAAAGCACCTACACAGCCTGTTTGCTTGCTTTCTCCCCAAACTGATCGTTACATGTGTGTGATTTTGTCTAGATACCAAACTTGGCCCTGAAGCCTTTCGCTTTGATATGGGAACTGAAGCCATGGCAACCAGACTCAGCGAGCGCTACTATATCCTACGCCCAGAAGTGGTAGAAAGCTACATGTACATGTGGCGACTGACACACGATCCCAAGTACAGGCAGTGGGGCTGGGAGGTTGTGAAGGTATGGCTGGAAAACGTGCAGTAATAACTGTTACAGGCTGCTGGATTCTTACAAGAATCTTTTCTTCAGTCAAGGAAAAGAGCAGAAAGGATTTAAATTGTATTAATCACTAAGACACATTATCAACAGGGCAGAAATATACAGAATAGCTCGATCTAGTGTGGCTTCTCTGCTGATCATGGTAAATATTTTCTTCTCCATTTTGGTCTATGCTGGAATCAATCAGTCAATCAAAACTGCAGAGGTTTATGGAGAGGAGTGCTGCAGACAGTGAAACCTGCTATTAACATAACAGTCCTGCATAAAAAAGAGTCAACCTTGTACTTGAAATCTGTGGACTGCTCAGAACCACTGGTTTGTAGTTGGCCAGGAAAAATGAGCAAGCCTGGCTTTGCCCTTCATCCCATCTTTTTCCTGCAAAGACCTCCCAGCCAGCAAGTCCCTCACCTCTGTCTTTCTAGCTCATACAATAGCTAGTTGGCTGCTGCCCCACATCCTAGCAGGGACTGCATTTCGGTGGCAGCATTGTCATTCATCTAGTGCCCTGGAAAAGAGGCTCTGCAAACAGCTAGAGTTGCCACTTGAGATCTGTTGTTGCTATGTGTGTAACATCAAGGTTAATCAATCAACCAACTTAGGCAGTTTATGTTTCTCTTGCTATTTCATTAGAACTAGCTTTATTCCTGCAGTAATCACCATGCTCTTCAGTGAGAGAAAGAAGCTACTATAAACCTGGAATTTGATTTGTAAAGCTGACTTGTAATGTGACTGATGATGATTAATGGGTTACTCCATGCTATTGTATGTTACTGAGATTTCTTTTCCTTTCTCAGGCCCTAGAAAAACATTGCAGAGTAGAAGCTGGTTTTTCTGGCATCCGAGATGTTTACACCACAACCCCAACCCATGACAACATGCAACAGAGTTTTTTCCTCGCAGAGACTCTGAAGTAAGTTTAGTATCACAGAAGCCTTTCAGAGTAGCATAATTCCTGCATCATCAACACTTTTGATGTTGTACTTTTTTTTGCATGATAAGTCTCTATTGTGAAGTCTTTATCCTCTGCAGGGCAGACTGGGCAAGATTAGAGGTGCTGCAAAGCTTTGGTAACTTCTTCCTGTAGAACCACTGCCGTTATAGGCGCTCTCTAGGTTTCTGCTTATGCACTGGGTTTAAAGGATTCTTCCTGCAATCCAGGGTTGCCCTAAGAAAAGGGAGGCACCGATGGTTTGTGAGACACAGCTGCACAACCTCTGCCAGGTTAATGCTCTGAACAAAGAGGAGGCATGAATACGTCATGAATGTGCTTCTCAGCTGGTGCTCAGCTGACTTCATCCTTGGTGCAAATCTGCCTTTGCTGGTACCTTGAGCTAACGTTTGCGGGGTGGCTGAGGGCAAGCGCACATCCTGTTCTGCCACCCTTGCTCCAGGGATGGTAGCTTCCAGCAGAAGAGTGAGGCAGGGAACATATCATCATAAGCCATGACAGCTGAGTCCAGTGGCAGCCCCAGTCGCAGGCCTGCTGACAAGTGTTCTCTGGTGCATGCTCAGAGTCCCATATGAGCTTCCTATAATCTCCCCTTGTGTCTGTCTTCTCCCCTGCACCCCCTGCCCACCCTTGCTTTATGGCTCCAGGTACCTCTATCTTCTGTTCTGTGAAGACGATGTGCTGTCTCTGGACGACTGGGTGTTCAACACAGAGGCTCACCCCCTGCCAATCAACCACACGAACTTTAAAACTAAAGCAAGTGTGCAGTAGTGAGGCCATTGCCCAGCGCCCTGCTTCTGCAGCGTCGGCGGGTTACTGCATTTCCTTTCCATTAAAGGAATTCGTGTTGTTCCTAAAATGGTATTTTGGGGCACTAGTCCAATTCCGGACAGTATTATATCGGGGAGATGAAACCGTGACATAAGCACCTTCTTTTCCTCTGTGAGGAGCTCTATTAGCCTGAAAATGAGATGTTTATTCTGGGCCATATTGTACACAATTCATAGACATTCCTTTATACAGAGAATTTATATGAAATCCACTGACTTTGCTCTATAGCGGCCAAAGGATTGGAAGTTTGCCATAAAAAAGACTTCCCCCACACATACCCATCCCTCCTTTCATATTTTTGTTTTGTTTTTGCCTTTTATATACTGTTGGATTTTATCGCCTTTCTAATTAACAGTTTTCAATATACTGTGCTTTCTAGGTGGTGTCAAAACTGTAACTAAATCAAAACCTGTCTGCAAAATTCTTGATCCTAAAGTATTTTTATATCGTTTTTCTGTGCTCTTAAAACACATTTACCATACATCACATCTCATTTACCTTTCCTTTATACTTTTTGTGTTTTTCTACTTTTATTTGGAACTAAATGTTATGAGTCACTTGTAATAATTTCACTGCTGTAATAGTCAAATCTGTGAAACGGAATAAAAGTCTTGTAAAATAAAAAGCATGCTTGGGTTGATCCTGCTTTAAAGCCATCTGTCAGAGACTTGTTACATCATGCTTGGAATGACTAGGTGACAATACTGGTTGATTTCAAGAATGTTTCACAATAGATGTTGATTTCCAGAGTCATCTAGTCAGTGTATGGACAGTAATTCTAATCTGCACCAGCCCTTTTAAATTGCTTGTTTGCTGTCTGATACAGGTTAGCAGGAGTTCCACTAAACATTTTATTTTCTAGCAAAAAATAAATAATCCCCAGCTAAGTTTGCTCCTTCATATGTACTATTTCTGGAATTAAGTGATAGGAGAAGAAGAAAGGGAAAAAATTGAAGCCAGATTCTCGCATGCATCCTGCTACTGGACTAGGTTTTTACCCTGTATGTGCTCGCAGTGACTCTAAGCAGGATGACTGCATGGAGATGTTCACATAACCTCTCCAATTCTGGCCCTGGCCAGAATATCGTACCAGATATCCAGGTATCGTGGATACCTGCCTAACAAAGTTAGCAACGAGGAAGGGCTGGATCCTCATTCAGCATCCTTTCTCCCAGCAGCCTTGTAGCAGCTTTTCCTCTGTCACTGTGAAGCTGCGTGGCCCTTGGTGATAGAACATTTTTCTCCATTCTTGTGAAACAATACTTGGTTTATTCAGCAACTTGGGAAGATAAAGTTGCTTTGAACAAGTTGTGAAAACAAAAAAATGTGTTTCTAAATTCATGCTTGTGTAATTCCACCAGAGAAATAAGGTTGTCAGATGGGGACTTAACATTATCCCAGAGATAAAGATACTGGCTGGTAAGCTTGGCCTAGAGGAATGGTTATTGGTAAATAAGCACCTTGGGAGTGAGTTGTCTCATCCAAGAGATTTGGATACTGGGAAGTCAGTTTAGCCCAGAGGATTTTTATAGTGGATTAAGGAAATTCCATAAATAAAAACGTCTGCTCTTGGAGTAACTCAGAACACTGCCTGGCAAAATTTAAAACCCCCGAATAAGCAGCATTGCTCTAGCTTCCTTTAGAAATAGATCCTTAGCGTTGCATTAAAACTCTGCTCTTGTTTTCTCTTCCAGACAAGTGTTCAGATATGGTAGTGAGCAAGAATGGTATTAGTAAAACCACATATGCTTCTAGAGGAAAGCTGCTGCATTCTTGCAGTTCAGTGGCTGCATCGCAAATAGGAAGTTTCTTTAGCTGCCCAGCATGCCTGAGAACGTAAAGCTTATTGATAAGTTTGCTTACCAAGACACTCATGTGGAGCTCAGCACAAAGAAAGCTGTTTGTTGGAAATGACCATGCTTGAAATTTTCCTCTCTTCTAGACCAGAAGTCTGCAAATACTTCTGCCTGTGCTCACAGGTATCCACAGAGTTATATCCCTGAGGCCAGTGATTAATTGCAGGCGTAAAGTAAAGCACGTATGTGTTTAGCAGGAGTAAAGATTTGTTCTGAGGAGCAGCGTTGTTCCAAGGCCTGGCCCTGGTCCGTAACTGCGATTCTTCTGACCAAGGGGAATGCAGATAATGGGAACATTTGCCCCATTGGCATCTTAAAATGAATCTGCTCTTTACTTGCTCCTCAGGAGGCCTTGAGCCTCAGATGGATGTTCTTGCTTGAGCAGAACCCTTGACTCTGGAAGCTTTGTGAGCAGAAGCAAGCACTGGGATTTCATGTCTCAGATCTGGCTCCCACCCTATATACTTCCTGCTTGGCCGGGGGTGGAGGGGCAGGGCAGGGATTCTGTGTGTTTGCCAAGATGGGAATCCTTTTGTTTTTGTACTTTTAGTAGCTAAATGAATGGGGTGTTACGTTTGAACCAAAGGTTTGTTTTTTAAATGTCTAATGGAAAGGATCTGGAAAGAGTTGTACCTTGGAGCTGCTTTCCTGTTCACTCTCAGACACGTGGGCCACCAGTGGGAATTCTGTTGTTGATGTATGATGGTTTTTCCACTTTTGATTCTCCTTTCCAGGAAATGTGATCAGCTTAGGTTACCTCTGCCTATTTCCCTGTTACGTTCAAATTGAGGGTCTGTGATTATTGTGTTAATTTTCACCACCAGAAGATGTGACCCTCTATTATATCACAAGAAATTTCCTGTAAATGAAGTTCTGGTAACAGAAAGTTGCATCATGTGGTAGAGATGAAAACCAATAACTCATTGCTTGTAGAAAGACTGGCTGTTGTCGCCTGACCATACAAGGAGATAAGACAAAACTATCCAGAAAACAAATGCATCTTCTTGAAACCTGTGCTTCATTTTTGCAGTGTTACTAAATTCCCTTGGAAGGCTTTCAGCAGAATTGGTTATTGAATTCAAAGGCCTGGCAGTCTTAGTATTTTTCCACATACGTTTTGATCTGATCTATTTATCTGATTGTTTCAGATGTGATGCATCAAGTGCTGACTCCCAGCGCTAGCAGTTTCAAAGTTTCAGCAGTTACTTCAGGTCGCAATTGGGTCTGTGGCTTCATTCCCCGTAGAGCCCCGAACAGGAACTGTGCTGTAATTAGGAATGTTTTCAGTAAAACACCCCTGCATTGTAAATGCTTGTTTAGAAAGCCAGTGAGTGTAAGAACTGCAAGTTACCCACCAAATGGGTTACTGCACACTGAATATGAAAGGTCAAGCTACAAAGGGGAGTTAGGAATCCAGGTCCATGGGAATTTGGTAGGCGTTGGCTCTTGCTGTTCTACTAAATGGTCTAGGTGAAATCTCTATCAAACCTCACTTCACTCTGCAGTCTTTGTTGCCCGTTCCTTTTCTGGGACTGACTGTATGTTTTCCATGGCTGCCTGTGATGCCCTCTGTCTCAGTGCAGCTATCCTCGATCCGGCTACAAGCCCCTCTTCTGCAGTGAACATAACACACCTCTGGTTTTCTTGTCCCCTTTGAAAAGCGCCATGTGAAGCTGGACTTGGATACTCCTTGTTCCTGACTGGTTTCCAGAGGATTCATGTTCTTGGGCCTCTGTCTGGTCAGGGCTTGCTTACTCAGTGGGTTTTTGTTTCTAGGTGCTTTCTCCATTTACAGAGCTCAGATTTTAACGCTGCCTTCCATTACATCATGATCTATTCAGCTTAAAGCGAGCCAGGGTTTCAGGCGATGGGAAATGGGGCCATGAGTTTAAATGAGGGGAGGATTTCTCTGCTCTCGGAACGTGCTGTCCTGGAACACGGACTTGCAGCGTGGTACTCCAACATCTGGAGAAGCCATCTCACTGCAAAAAGGGTTGTTCCAAGCTTTCAATCCCTGGCACCAATTTCCCTCTAGTTTTCTTATTTTCAGCTGGACTCTCCTGGCTGGCAAAAGAGAAATCTGGGATAGTTTTTCCTGCCAGGTGAATTTTTCTGTGTTTGTGAATCTTCCTTATTAATTCCCTATCACAAGGATTTCCTCTGGTACAAATGTGCCTGGGTGGGCCACGCAGCAGCTGTCCAGATATTTAAAATTCCTCCTGAGCGCTGTAATCTGTAATCTCAAGAACTAGCAGTGTAGAGCCGGGAATTGTTGGTATTATTTTCCTTTGAGAAGGATCAGTTCCCAGCAGATGCCCTGAATTATTTCACCTTTTGTCTTTCATTCTTTTTCCTATCAAGTAATTCATCCATTTGTCATCATTATATGGTAGCTGATGACACTGGAAATGGTTCGGATGTAAAATAAGCCCCTCTGCTTCTTCTCTACACTGTACCATTTTGGCTGTGCCAGCAAGCCTGTCAGGTCTCTTTCTCCATCCAGGAGTTTGCAGGCTTTGTCATTTCATATCACCTCTTGCTCTTGCTTGTTTCCCAGACACCCGAGTACATTTATCCTGTTTCAAAGCTGTCTCATCCTGTTACATGTTGTGCTCTAAAGGTACTTGCTAGGTTATTTGAGGTAAGTGAAAGCTCTCCACACCTCACTGCCCAACCTAATGAGTCCAGTAAGTTTTAAAGCATATCTGCTTAAGTGGAGACCAGCTCATTCACACCTGCCTCTGCTCCCAGACATTATTTCAATGCTCTGTTAATTCAGTTCCTCCCACCTCCTCCCCACTGGTCCAAGCACCAGTTCTGCTTCTTTGGCTGATGGGGAGGTGGAGAGCAAAGAGCAGTGGCCGAGTTTCATGAACGCTTTCTTCTATAGTGGAGCTGGCCTAAGCAGCCTTCTCCATCTTCTCTTGGCTGTGCAAATGTAATAGCACTGATCTGAGTTACAAATAACCCAGTGGGGTTTTTTTTTGATGGTAGGCTCCCCCTATCTGATACATTGTGTTGCCCAAGGTACCACTGCCCCCGCAAGAGAAATATCAAGGGCCACATGGGGAAGCTATAGCAGAGAGGGGAACAGCACCCAAGTCTCAGACAGAAGGCTTTACTTCCCCTTCACCACCTGGATCCTGCTGCCTCCGGTCTTGCTTGCCATGGTGTACAAGCAAGCATGGTGTGCTTTTTCTCTTGGGAAAATTCTTCCTGGGAATTGCTTGAAGCTCCACATACTCCTGGCCTGTTTGTCCAAGATTACCAGCCTCTTCCTCCTTCCTTGATGAGGCTGCCGCTGCTCTCTTCATGGTTCTCGGTTATGCTCTCCTCATCTCCAACCAAAATGCTCTAAAACAAAATGATTAGGCAGGCTTAGGAAATGGCAAAAGCTTCAAAGCATTAAACGCTAACGCTTCCTGCTACCCTTTGAGAGATCTAACATTCTGCGTCGTTAGCCCTGCAGCAGCAGCAAATGTACTAAATCTTCCTGAGCAATCGGGATTTCGGTGGCAGCGTGGGATTGCATGTAAGGAGGAGCGAGAGACTGATTTACGGAGAAAGATTAAAATGACTAAGTATATATTTCTTGGCCAAGCCACTGCTCAGGAGCGATGTGACAACCGTGTAGAAGAACCTGAAGGGCACAAAGAACAAAGAGAGGGTGGAATAGTTTGGGGTGACATACAGGTTTGCGACCAGGAGTGATGGTGGGGATGGCTCAAGGATGATGGAGCTCCAGGAACCATTCGCTCGGTTACCGGGGGATCATTGCACAGGGGCGAGGGAGACCCAGGCTCCACGACGGCTAAGTCCAGAGGGCATGCAGAATCCGCGCCGTCGCCCTGCGGCTGCTAAGGCAGGTGTGCTGAGCTCCCGGTCTCTGTGTGTGTGTGTGTGGTCCTGATTCGAGAGCACTTAGGTCCCAGTGAAATCACCACCTGCAAGCAAAACCACTGAAGTCCATCGAAAAAAATAACGCGCTCCACAGCTCGACAGGAGATGTTTTGAGCTCTGGCCGTCACGCCGACCGGGACTGCCGTGCGCTGCCCGGCCATCTCCCTGCCTCCACCTCCCCGCTCGCAGGCTTCGCCGGGCAGCTGGGGTTTGGGGAGCTGATACCAACCAGGCTCGTGATGGGGTAGGACACGGCTCCTCCGGGGGAAAGGGGAGGACTGGCTGGGCAAAAGAGGGACTGTGCCCACGCTCTTGAAATATCAGTGCGGGGATTTGTCCCATGAATTAAGAGGGCCGCCTTCACAGTCACTGATGCTCCTCAACCCTGCTTTAGCGCTCTGAAACGTCCCGGGCCACGTTTGACACCCTTTGGTGCTAAACGAAGAGGATCGCGGTCTAAGTAGGGCCGCGGCAGCTGGGGAAAAGCTGCTGAGCGCGGGTTCAGGGGCGGCGGGGCCAGGGCCGAGCACCGAGCGTGCACAGCGCTTCCCAACCCACAACGAAAAGCAAAATCCCCGAGAGCCCCTCATGAGATTGCCGGCGTCCCCGGCGCCAGAAGGATGAGTTATTTCCCCTCAAAAAAACAAACAAACAAAAACCTCCCCGTGGCAGCAAGCCTTAAATCGCACCGAACGGGAGGCGAAAACCGGGCGCTACCGGGCGCGT